GGATTATAAGAAACTGACATAAAATGCCTTAATTAGACAACTCCATCTACTTGCTATGCATCCAAGTAACAGGATCTCTTGTTTCATGAGATATGAGAAAGATAAAAATGCTGAAGTTATACTTACGCAGTATTGATCAATTGTTTCCATCGAAATGAAGTGACAAGAACATTTTAACTTTCCAAGATTCATATTTGGGTTGTGGGAAAAGAAGAGGCATCAAAATATTATAAAAAGAAAACACAGAAGAGGAGAGTATTTAGCATGTATCTCTCCCTATAGAACATACATGGAATTGTTTTAGTTGGCTAACAACTCCTGGACCAGTAAGATTTCCAAAGGCACAAATCGAGCAGAATTTCTGAAAATTCATAGAACTAAGACAAGTGCATCCTTTTGTTTAAGCTCAAGAACTGAACCAACTTACAATTTTTTCAATCCAATCATCATCATTTCCTTCTGCAGAAATATTTAACTGACCAAACACCAGCATCCACTGAATCTTAGAGGCAGAAAATATCAACCCAGCACCAGAGACCAATCTAACAGTTCTTTTATCAAGAAAATATAAGAGATTCCTTGATTTCCATTGGTGCCACGTAGAAACATCTACCAACTGCTCTGCATTCCTGCTTACAAGTAAAACTTTGTTTAGTTCTGACATTCAAGGAAATTCCTGTGGCCTTCCAATTAGTCAACCAGTAAACTTATTCTGAATTATTGAGAAAATTCACCAAAGTATGTAATAACATTTTTAGCTTTCAGTTTCCTGGAGATTTTTGTGTCCACTCAGATAATTATGATCTAAATATAAGTTGAAACACCAGCATTGAGAGGTGGATTATTATCCCAGATAAAAAATAAACAAATTGCCAAACGTAATTTTTTAAAACGGAGAGAATATTAAGAAAACAAGCACAAATATATTCCTTTGAGATTAAGGCATAAGTATGTGATATGCATGTTACATTTACAAGTTCACAAAAAGCCAGCCAAAAGAGTATTTAACTAATAGAGTAGATCAATCTAATTTGAATATAATCTGTACTTCTCGACTATGGCACTGCCTATATGAAGGAATTTCACATTCATAACTAAATACATGAGGTAACAGTTGATATAAGCCTAGAAATACACTCCTTTCCCTATTATAAAACATAATAAAAATTTAGATGATCTTTTTTAGTGCACAAAAGAGAGAGGCATCCTCCGCCTTAAGCTGAAATGAGGAGAGTTGCAAGAGCAGTGCCATACATCAGACATGTTTGCCAAGGTTGTAATTATATTGTGTAGAAGAGGGATTTTTTTTATCTTCTCGGTAACAATAAACAAACCAAGGGGTCCCTAACAGGGAATTGTCAGCAGCAAATTTACCATTATGAGACCATATACTTGCATTGCTACGAGACAAGTCTAGTGCATACCCTTCTATAGGTAGAGCTCTTTCCTTATCACGGCTTATTTGATCTTTTAGCAAGTTGTCAATCAGGCTGCCATGTCTGATGATATTAGAAAGAACATGTAAACCTGATTCAGCTGTTGATATGCATGAAACTGCAGATTGCCTCTTCAAGAGCTCTTTGACAGTCTGTTTTGTAAAATCATCACCCTTGGACTGATCAATCATCATAGTTGTAGAATCATCTAGAGATGAAAGAGATGAGTCCTTGATGGATCCCCTCTTATCTGCCAATAAATGGACAGATGCATCCAGTAGCATCAACTTGTTGAGATATGCATTAAGACAACCATGCTCCACTTGTGAAAGCTCACTAAGATCCATTTCAATTGTTGCAGTTAGAAAAGCTCTGAGATATCCGTCACTCAGTGGCAAATTGCCAATGAAATGCTCTAAAACCAAATCCCTTCCCCTGCTAAGAGTAGCTGAGGATATATGTGAAAGACCCTGGGTTTATTAAAAATAAGACAAAATAAACCGAAAAATAAAAGTAAATAACAATCTTATCACAAGGAAGCTTCCAAATTTATAAGTTTAAGGACCAAGTTAGAATTCACAACCTGAGGGAAGGAAGGATCAGATATCATTTCAGCTAGAGCAGCATCAAGGTCTTTCACTGAATCCCGGAAAAGAACTGAGCTTTTTAAGAAACTTAACACCTTAACAATTCAAGAGAATTAAGATTTCAACCTCTTTTCCAACTAATAAAAAAGGAATGGCCCGCACACGTTAAGCATTTCAAGGGAGACAAAAAGAATTCTGCTAAAAACAAAAATGAGCATGGATAGTAAAAATATTACGCAAGCTTATTTAGTTACAGATTA